GCGAAAGCAAAAAAAAAGAGCACAAAATGAAAATACCCACACGTGATTTTTCTCTCGTTCAATTTTTCCGAATTATTTATTCATTTTTTTTTTATTTCGTCTTCAAAAAATCATGTGCCAAATGATACTTCACTGAATCTCCACTGCCCAGATGCAGACTTTTATAAATCTTTTGGAAATCCTAGGAGAATAGCGCACGAGTCAGCTTTTCTTCGAGCTATTTTTTCCATTTCATGAATTTACCTTTTCTTTCGTTCGACATCATGCTATGGAATTGTTTATCATTGTGATAAGGAAAAAAATTTTAAATGGGAAGTCGTATTAGTTTTATTTATTCGGTACTCTTACAGCTGTATATCTCGGACACTATGAAATGCTAGCTATCGATCTCCACGAGGAATTGATGTACATATATAAGAAATAGGGGTTCAATTGTCATGTGATTAGGCTCCTTCATTTAAAAAAAAAATAAAAAATTCAAGCTGATTGATTAATTACTCTTTGGGGTTCGGTACGATTGATTGAGGGGATCCATATGTACACAAGCTCAGACTAATTGATTTCCCAAAATTCTACCATCTTCATGAAAAAATCAATATCTCACAACACCTTTTTTCGAATTACTTGAAGTTCAATTCCCGAACAATGAAAATTCACCTTTGCAGTGAGAAATTATTGATACCTCGCAAATAATCACAATCTTATGTTTTAACCCAAAATGATAGCTTATAATGAACTCTGTGTCAAACCAAGTGAAACATCAAGAAAAAAGAACTTGCGTAACCATTAATTAAGTCGAAAACATTTTATGAGAGAAAGAGAGAAAAGCAATGCACAAAATGCAAAGTAGAAAATGTCGAGTACCCTTAATGAATTAGGTGCACCGTTACATGCGGAGTTTCAAGAATTACGAGGTATTGGAGTAACAGTAAGAGACATCATCTATGCAATTACGAAAATGGAAAAAGTTATGTAATTGAAGAATGAGAGAAAAAAAATTATTCAAGACCCCGAGGCTCTTCAATTTTTCTGCCTCCATTTACATTCATTGAATTATTTTTTCTAGTGAAAATTAATGATTCTTTCAAATTACTCACTTACAAAAAAAAAATCACATTGTCACGTCTAGACAATCGCAATAATCAAATAAAGTATTCACACTTCTGCATTTGCCTCGAACGAATAAAAATTCATGAGCTCTAATTAAATGGAAAAAGGAGATTGTCTTTAGAAAAAATCATTTCTCTCAAGGCTTCGATAGTATTGATAAAATATAACGAATAAAATTATGTGTAACAAAATAGTTATAATCCCCTACACGTAACCAGACTAAATTCTCTAATATAACAATAAAATAAAAACTGGCTGAAGCTCTGAATCAAAATGAAAACTATGCGTTACGAAAGGATGAGAACTGTCACCCTGGTGCTGACACAGTTGAGATAAATTTGAGAATGAAAAAAAAAAACGATAGCTGTACGATAACTTAATCGAAACCATTGACTAATAAGAGAGGAAAAAAAAAGAGTGATTGAAATTTTAAACGAACGACAAATGTCATTTTAAAACTTAGGGCTGGATAATATTTTCTTACGACAAAACACTCATTTTATGTACATTCCTTCCTAACCCTGTGAATAATGAATGTTTAAAATGAAAGGTATAAATATTTTTGTGTAAGAATAAATATACTTCGTAATCGACAATTAATAGGTGATTACTGATACTTGAAAAACATGAAAAAATAATCAGATTTTAAAAATATACCGATAAGTATGAATCTAGTAGTAGTCATAGTAATGTCGATGTTAATTGTTCAGTGTTATGCCAAAAAGAAAGAAAAAATTTCAAATCAAAGACCCATTTTATTGAATGAATGTGTGCAGTGCGTTAATTCTATGCTTTTTAACAAAAATCAAAATATAAATGAATTCGAGTAAACACTACACACACGGTAAAGTATCAAAATCCAGCCCTAATTAATTGTAAAGAGTATATGCTTAATCAGAGACGAACTAAAAATTCTCTCTTTCTCTCGAGTGCTTCATTAATGAATAAAATAAATTCATTGTTAAAAAAAGATCGGACATATCAAAGAACACAATGTGAACAAGGAAATTTTACACCAATGTTTTCAGCTCAATTTTCTTGATCATTCTGAATTAAACGTCGTCAATGGTTCGATTTCGTTGAGTCCTAAATTAATAACGAATATAAAAAAAGAGAAAACATGAACGACATGCAGCACTGAAAATGAAAATTTCAAAGGCGATCGTTCACTGTCCAAATACTTTTTATAACAAAGAAAATGAAAAGTATGAATGTGTACATAAAACGATATTCATTTCCCACGAGAAAATCCATTTCATCAAATTATTTCCATAAAACTGAAATAAATAACTGAGAAGGCAAAACTTGGTGCAAATGTCAAAATTGAGCCAATTTGAAAAGTTCAAAAATGTCCCGAATATTCCAGTAATTCAAACTTTTTACTGAGCTTGGATAAATCCTAAATAAAAATATTAAATTATAGAAAATAGAGGAGATGAGTGATTAGTCATGTAGACACGTACAATACATAGGTAAGGATCGTGGTTATTATGACACCCAAAAGAGTCTAACATTCATTGAATCGACAAAAGGGTAGTCACCGAAAAAGAAGCGTATAAATGAAGGGAATCATAAACCCTCTGATTCTTCCTCCGAGCTGCCCTGAATTCTCTGAAAATTCCATCCCCTTCCACCCTTTCAAATAAGTGTAAAAACAAAAATTACAAAAAATTGATATAACGTACTTACCGCGATTTATATCAATTGATAATATATTTATGACAAGTGATTGATTGTGAGTCATTTAAATAATTGTTATATGTATTTTCTATATATTATGGTAAATAAACTTATACACATAATATATATTTAAAAACAAAAATGACATTATATCGATATTGAGTGTAGTGTTACTCGTCGATAAGTATGAAAATATTAAGAGAATGAGATTAAGAGACAAAAATAGAATGAACGGTTTTGATCTTTCAATATTAAAATAAATGAAATTTCGCCCCCGGACGATAAAAAAAAATAGTTTAAAACCGATCGAGGAACTTCATGTAAGCGTTGATGTGAAAATTTCCAAGAAAAAATCAAATCATTACGGAATTCAAAATCAAAAGCAAATGATCATGAAAAATTGCGATAGTGAAAGAAGATTTCAAAGAGTAGACACTAATACTGTATTTTCTCACTCCCACTGAGAAGTGAACGTTCAACGCTACACATCTTACTTGAATGAATAATGAGAAAAAAGAATATGAGCAGAAAGAAAATGAACGATGACCTATATATAAAAGTCTATAAATATATAAATAAATATATTATATTATCATATGAAAACAAAAGTCACTGTATAATTGTAACGAAAAAATTGTTTTTCAAACGATGTGGTATTTTTATTGTAGATATTATTGCATACGAATAAATGATTCATTGTACGATGATTTAAAACAAAAAATAATTCATGGTAAATATTCATTACTCTTTCATTGGGTCGAAATCAAGACTTTTCTCCATGTG